GGGGAGGTCCGCGGGCCACCGGCTCATTTCTCCTCTTCTCTCTTCTCCCCCTTTCCCCTGGCAGCTGTGTCCACCTCTGTCTTCATCGTGGCCATCCTCATCCTGCTGCTGCTCCTGTACCACCGGGACCCCATGTGCTGCCAGTTCCTCTGCTCCTGCCGCTTCTTCCAGACCCCCAGCCAGTATGTGAGTGTCCTCCTCCTCCTCCTCCTCCTCTTCCTCCTCCTGCCTTCGAATCCCCCACCACCCCCCAGAGCCCCTGTTCCCTTGTTCTGGGGGCTGTGGGGCTGCTTTCCCCTCCTGCAGCCTGGCCAGGCTCGCTGGTGGACGTGGGGACCCCCCACCCCGAGCAGAGCCGGGCTCTGCCTCCTCCTTATTCCCACTCCACCTTCTTTATTCCCCCATCCCTGCCTGCATGTGCTGTTGGGGGTAATATCTGCAAAGCCCAGCCTGAGCAGGTTCCCCAGCTCCCACACAGCTCAGGAGGGGTGTCTTCCTCCCTCCGGCACGGCCATGTGTGGGGTCGGGCTCTGTTTTATGGGGAAGGGGCCCAGCAGGGAAGGGGGCTGGAAGCTCAGGGCAAAGGCAGACAATGCCACTGGCCACCGCTTGCATCCCCGGCAACTGCCTCTCTTGTGCACAGCTCCTGAGCAGCGAGACACAAAGCCCTTTTTGGCTTGCAGCTGTAATTTCCTGGGGCTGGCTTTTAAGGGAGGGGAGGGGGTTGAAGCTGGTGATGGAAAAAGAGCAGCGTGTTCAGCCAGCACTGCCTTTGTTGGTGGTGGCTGCCTGGGGAAAGCTCGGCTTCCAAAGGCCACGGGGAGGGCTGTGTGTGGGCTGTGGGTCCCTGGGAGAAGAGGGGACCCTCATCCTCAATTAGCAGGGGATGGAGAAACTAGTGCCATGAAAGGCAAACGTAATAGTCCAGCACAGGCTGGGAAGTCCCCAGCAGAAATCACAGTGGGAATGGGCTGCGCTGAGGGTGTCCCCTGCCTGCTTGGCTGCATCTGCTCCTTTCCCCATCCTCCTCCCTGTTCCCTGTCTGTGGCTGCGCTGGGGAGAGGGCTGGGGTGCTCAGATGTGCTCCTCGCCCTGCTGAGCTGCTCCCCGGGGCTGTGCGGGCTGCGCCGTGATCTGCAAGAACCTTGGCTCTGCCTGGGTCCGTCTCTCGGGTGGGTGGTTCCAGGAGAAGGCATCTTGCCTTCAGCGAAGGGCTGTGTGGACAGATGGATGGGGATGCGAAGAACTATATATGGAAAGGGAACATCTATAGGATGTATTTCCATCAGCTGTAGTGGTGCGAGGCAGCTTTCAAGCAGGTGTGGTTGTGCTGGTTGTGCTGGTTTTGCTAATCAGTTATTAAAACAAATAGTTGCACCCCCAGCCAGCCTAGCTCCCCGCAGCTTCTGTAATTACGCCGTAGGGCCAGGACAAACGGTTCCTGGGTTGTTAAGAGCAAAAGTAAATCTGTCACTCGTGGTTCCCCCCGCGAATTCCCTGGTTGCTCTGGGAATTTCTGGACTGATTTCTGCTGGCAGGGATGGGGCTTTTCTGAGAGAGAGCAATGGCCCACAGCTCGAGTCCTGGGGGGCTGCTCTCCACGGGAGGGGTCTCTGCTGTTGCTCGACACCTTGATGGAGCATCGAGTTGAACTGGAGCAAGACTGGGAGCAGAAGAGCTGCTGCTCTGCAGGTTTGCTTGCCACCTTATCCTGAAATGACTACCTGGGTAGTTAAGCTTTTACAAATTCTGCAACTTCTGAGCGTGTGACAGAGCCCTTATCTACGCTGGTGGAATGGTCGGGTTGTTTTTCTGTTGTCCCCCAAGAGAGGTGGCTTTGCTGACTCTGAACGAAGCCCGGGGCTGGGCTGCCATCCCTCCAGCTGCGCTGCGGTGCCAGCTGACTCGGGCTCTTCCAGTGCTGCCCGGTGAGGATGTGCCCGAGCTGTGGGTGTCGGTAAACGGGCAGGCAGAGGTTGGCCACCAGCAGTGAGAGCCATGGGAGCCACATGGGCAGAGGCAGCAGCATTCCCTCTGCCTGGAGTCCCCCTTCCCAGGCTGTCCCCCATCAGCTGGCTGAGCCCCGCTTGCTGCCGGGTGGGATGTGAGGGATTTGGGCTTTGATATGAGGGATTTTGGCTTTGCTCACATCCTCCTCCTCCCTGACCCCTCGTTACAGGACTGTCCCCCACCCTACTTCAGCAGCAGCCAGCGGCTGGTGGGTCCCCAAAGCGGAGCGTCCCGGCTGGAGAGCGCTGCTGAGAACCCCGGAGTGCAGGTGATGGCTGGGTCCGGGCTGGGAGCCGGTGGGGGCAAACAGTAGCAAAGATCCTGGTGATTTTTGGGAAACAATGGTGGTTATGGGGATCTGAGGAGCTCCTGGGGCAGAGGGAGAAGGTGCTGGACAGCAGGTGGAACTTCGGGAAGTGCTGCCTGAATGTAAAAACCTGCAGGGGGAGGGCAAGGGGTGCTGCAGAGGACCGTGGTGTCCTGAGGTGGGCAGGAACGAAGTGTCAGGCACATCCCTCGGGACCTGGGATCTTGCAAAGCAGGTCGTGGTGTAATTACCTCTTGGGAGGGAGGATTTCCCCTCTCGGGGTTCAAGGAAGCGGCACCCACCACTTTGAATCTTGAAGTAACTTGAGGTGGCACCAGGCCATGAACTTCCAGCGGAGAGAGCCACCGCCACCCTGACCTTTCTTCTTCTGGGCCCGGCATTTCTAGGGAGACGAGCTGTTCTGCGTCGGGCCCCCCAGCAGCTACCAGCTCCCCTCCTGGGAGCAGCCCCGCCTGCCCAGCTACGAGAGCGTGCGCAAGAAAGATCGCCAGCGGGAGATCCATCAGATGATCGCCGAGAGGTTTGGCCTGTGGGCAGAGCCTTCCCAGGAGGTGAGAGGGTGCTGGCAGAGGTGTGGGGACAGTCCCCTCTCCTCTCTCTATCTGCTCCAGCAGTTTGCGGTAGCGAAGGACTCTGTTCTCTGCGATTGCCTCTCTCTGATTGCCTTTATCTCTGGGAAGGGCACGGAGCGTTCCAGGAGGCTCCTTTGGTGTCCATCTGTGCTGGTTAATGATCGATCTCTCCCGTGGGGGGGGAGCGTTTGCAGAAATGCCTGTGCCAGGAGGCAGGGTAGAGCTGCTGATGAAAGGGCAGGAGGGCCTTCAGATCATCACCGTGGCACAAAACCCAGGCTGGG